CCTGCGACCACAGAAATGTGTAGTTCACACGAAGGGACTAGTCGTATGAAACAGGTCGCTGGGACTAGTCGCAAGGACTAGTCCCCTCGTGTGTGCCGACCTTTATCGATAAATGGACTCTGGCGATTGGCTTGTCCATCATGCCACACGGGTCTACATTCACGCCACAAGAAAGATCGACTACCGCCTAGCTTTGCGACAGTCAATAATTAAATTCACTCTGTTTTCGATTTCACTCCAAACTCGTGTGCAAAACAAAAATTGTTGCAAGTCACTAGAGAACTTTGATGATTCATTGTTTTTTCCTCTGGAAGGAGTTGCACGCCTGCCAAAGTACACATATCCACACGCAATTTGCACGCTTGGTTTATAACTTGTTACAGGCCTACCAGTAATTTATGATGGTTATCGTTCCTGGTGTGTCTGGAGAGGCGGTGATTAACTTGGTTTCATCAGCCCACATGAGGTGCAGCAATGTTGGGTTACGATGCAAAACGTTCAATAACTTACCCTCCTATGGCAAGGGAAGAAAGAAAACGTTTGTCGCACGTTTCATTAAAACAAGAGGAAATATTTTTCCATTAGGTTATTAAAAAATATAAGCCAGTCAAGAGTATAAGAAAGTTAAATTTACGGAACAAATCATCAAGGAGCTAGGGCATGACATTCCGAGTCCGTTCTACATGAAGTTTAGGGTTAAGTGCTCATAGAAAAAAGAAAAAACCCTGATATAATCTTTTGAAAAGGTAAGCGCGAGGCAATCAGGAAATAGAATGCTCTAGAATGGTAAAGACTAAAAAGAATGACGAATCACATTATTTAAAATAGCAAGCTAAACTTTTTCATGATACACATGCTAAAATCAAAGAATACTTACTCAAACAGCATTATGACATACCTTCACATCCCAAAGAGCGATGCGTTTCCGGTCTCCACCAGAAATGAGTCGATTACCTGAGAGGCACAGACACCTAACTACCCCGATATGCTCCTCCAGTGTGTGAAGCAGGATACCTTAAAAACAAATAAATGACTATTAAATAACAGTTTAGTTAGAGCGCATTAAGAAACAAGGGGTAACCGCAAGAAATGCGAAAATTACCTACCTTGATGACTCCATAATCGCACAGTGCTGTCCGCCGAGCCAGACGCAATGATGTCATCAGTAAACTGTAGACAGTACTGGATAAAGCGGCCAAGAAAGTTTAAGAACACTTTCAATCCGATAAGAGTTCTGCTTGCCTTTGAGGCTATAGCGACAGAATGTTTCAATCTTTTTTTCTCAGCACAATTAAACACACGATGAAACATGCCAAAAACGAGGAATTTAACCTTGAACCTTTGAATTGCACGTTCTGATGGTGAACCACTCAGCTACATGGAGCTTTACGCTGATAGCTTCATATATGACAATCAGCAAAACAAAAGAAGCGAGTTATTAAGTATAACAAGAAAGATGGTAATGTTTTCAATGTCAAACTTCGCGCAGTAACTCCCACCTACGCTCGAAGAGGCGTTCAAACGAATTGATCTTACAGAATTATGTAAGTTTTGCTGGATGGCTAACCCAGCAAGCATAACTGTAGTAAATTTATGGCTCTTTGTATTACATAGAACTATGAATTCATCGCTTACCACTTCACCTGTATGCCCAACCAAAGTGAATGTGTTATCTCCTGTGTGAGCATCCCAGATCTTAATCAGACCATCACCTCCCCCACTTATTATTTTCTTTTCGTTGAAGTCACAACAGAAAACAGCTGCCGATAAACGTTAAACCAACTAAAAATCAGAAAATTATGTTCCAGGTGTTGTGGTAGATTTGCAGATTTTAAAGAATAACAGCGGGAAAAAAATTAATTTTCACGAATAAAAGTCGATAATATATATCTGCGATTGCTTAATTGGGGTTCACTTGCGGGAATCATTTCTTTGCTTGAACAACTTATGGTACACACAACCCCAGGCTGAACAAATTCAAATAGCCTTTGATTATTTACACTCGCCATTTCCAACTTTGAGGTAAAAATCGCGGAAAGGTTAGGTGCATTTTCTCCGGTGCCGGAGATGTAATATAATAGGGACTTTAAGCAAACCACGACGGCTACGGCAACGAGAACGTGGAAAAACAATACATCTAATTGGCAGAACAATAGCCCAACACGTGCGTTTTAAAACTTTTTACATTTCTTAGCCGTCCTTTGCAACAACGTGAAATCCCCAAAATTTGCGTCGTCTGCGAAGCGAAACCGCGGCGGCAAATTATTTTAATTTACATTTGGAACTCAACGCTACTTTTATGCGTTATGTTGAGTTTGAGGTCTGGCGCCCTATGAGACGGTAAACACATGCAGCCATTTTCGAAATTCTAACTAAAAGTAGAAACTCATTTTTTAATCGACGTCTTCCGTGGCGTTGCCGTCCTGACTGCTTAAAGTCCCTAATAAGTTGTTCGCGGTGCTCATGGTTTAATGCTTGCCTGACAGCCAACAACTTCCAGAATCCACTTGACTCAACAATGGCATGACTTAGTTTAGGGACAACTTGTGATTAGTACATCTAAAGTTTCACTTACTCCTGCAGATGGTAACCTAACTGCCAGCCATTTGTTGGCTACATTTGGAAATTTCAATCTTAAACCAATGCTAAACTTTTTATGAGCCTTAAATTGAGTCTAATGCACATAATCTAGAAAATTCCCTACAAGCTCAACAAATCTAGATATATTCTCAGCCACATCACATATTTCCAGTTAGAAGTACACAGCATGGTCAATCCTCGAAAATCCCACAGATTACACAAAGCTTGCTTTCTGAGACACTCAGTTTCTCAAAATGTCCTGATAATTTGCAGTAGTTTCAAAGATACTGTCTGCTTAATTTGGCTGACATTGATTTGTCTTTCCCATTCATACCATTGTACTAAAATTCTTCTGCACAGTATTGTGACAAGCATTTTTTTCCCCAGAGGGCCTTGCAGATAAACCCTCTACACCTTACAATCAGTATACATATTCTCCACACTGTTCCCTAGACATTCCCAGTGGTAATGACAAGGAGAATTTGTTCAACAATCATATATTAGGCTTTTTCAGTTGCAGATCATTTCCTCTATCCACATGATATTAATGTTTGATTTAGAAGTGATACCAAACGGTAACTGTAAGTAGATGCTGTATGCTCAGGGATTAAAAGGGTTAATTAATAATCCTTATAACATAAATCACGTAAAGTGCATGTTCTGATTGGTCAATTCAGAGTGTACTATTTCCCCACAGGTGTATGCTGCTGATGTGAGCAAATGTTTTCCACATTAGCAACTGTTTTGCAAGAAATTGTTTTTATGTTATGAAACAAATGGTAAGCACCACAGTGTACACTATTGAGTTATGGATGCACTTGGGAGGTTTGTTACGCACTCAAGAAGCTAGAGTTGCCCTCGGCTATCGCCTCGGGCAACTCTTACGCTTCTTTCGTGCTCTCCAAACCTCCCGCGTGCTCCCTAACTCGATAGTGCACGCTAAAGCATGAACCAATTGTTAAATAGATACTTTAATTAATAGTTGATGAAAGGTTAATTTCTAACTGTAATTATGTTTAGTCTCTAGTCTCTTAGTCTGTAGTTTTCCTCTTTCCTCTGTCATGTTGTAATTGTATGTGAATATTATTATGTAAAATTGCGTAAAATACTTTTCAATTGTCTGGCTTGCCGCGACTAGCTCTTCACTATTTGCAAGCCAGCCTAGTAATAACCACCTGATATTTACTTGGAAATAAAACTTGGAAACTTGGAATAAAAAAAGAAATAAAAAAAAGCAAAATATAAGCGATGGTGGACGAAGAGGAGGGCACAAAAACTGGGCGCTTTTGTGAAAAGGGCAGATAGCGCTAACCAAGAGTTAAATCGCTATCCAGTGGATATGTAATTGCGAAACGTACTGCGCTATCCACCGGACAGAGATTTATTCATTGGATAGCGTTATCGAACCTTCGAACAACCGGGACCTGGCGGTTAGTTGACTGGTTTCAGATCGGAAGAAGTGAGTTGGAACCCTGGACTGGTTCGTACGCGCGTGTCGCTTTTAGTATGGCACTTCACTTTCACAGTGCCTCTATCGAACCTGCAGTATAAATGGGTACCAGCGAACTTCAGTGGACAATTAATGAATTGAAGGGGGTTTAAATGAGTTGGACTGCATTTCGTTTCAAGCCAAAGAAAGTACAGTAGCCTTCCTGAGATTTGACCACAGCTAATTGCAAGATGTTAATAGAGCATGTTAAGACGATTAAAATTACCTGAATTTCATCTGAATGGCCAGTCATTGTGCGAAGAAGAGCACCAGTATCTGAATTCCACACCCGAACAGTTCTGTGTAACAAAGTGATTACACAAATAAATTCATCTCTTGATACCACAAAAGAGTCTGATTCCAAATTTTACCTACTTTCAGCCTTTACTTACAGGTCAGCAGATGCACTAATGATTGTACTTCCAACAAACGATAAGTGTTCCACAGCCCCTGTGTGTCCTTGAAATGACCTGCAGTGTAAAAACACACTCTTGGTTGGTGTACAAGTACAACAAAACAACAGATAATACTTTGAATGACTAATTTTAGTTTTCAAGCTCCGGACGTTGCACGAAGTCTGACAGAAAGGAGTGTTTTAAAGGCTTCAAAGAAATAAATGTACTTAAGTTTACAACTTCCTTTACATTGGGGTAGGGTTTATGAAATTTAAACGGCAATTATACATTGAAACTCAATAATAAATCATCTTAGGTATCATCGTTCCTTTGAAAGCTCACATGTATCTGAGCTAATCAACGCTGCCATGTGGGGATAGGGTCATTCCAGGACAACATAGAAAAGGAAGACAGAGAGGTATAACGGAATAGCTTACGGGAGACGTAGAGGGGAGTTGGGGATCATTTGCAGCGCCGAGCTGACAGAACTGGCTGTCGGGTGAGTGCAGAGGCCTAATGCGCTACTTGGTTCGAAGAAAGTCAGTAACGGAGTGGAGGTTTTGCTGTGATTCCTTGCTAACTAATATTCTGAACATCATAAAAACAACTCTATGCATTATTTTCTTGTTTTCATACTCAAACCTGAGGCATCGTCCAGATTTCAGGTCAAATAGTCTGATAACTCCATCTGCACATCCACTGGCGCACAACGAATCCTGCAGTCGACATAAAATCAGCGCGTCAAAATTTTATTCACCTTTTTAAAATGGCCAAGATTTCGACATCAAACAAACGTTTACGACCACAAGAACCATAGCCTTAAACTTCTACTCAACACGACTTCTTAGCAACCTGTAAAACTGATCTTTTTCAGTTTAATAAACTTCACTTTTGACCTCATCTCAAGTAACGCATTTTCATTTGTATTTTTGCTTGTTGCTTTATTGACTTATACACATCTGTTAGCGATAAACACTTAACACCACAGCGTACACTCTTGAGTTATGGATGCACGAAGGAGGTTGCTAAGCACGAAAGAAGCGTAAGAGTCGCTCGAGGTGTTTACCATTTGTTTTATAACATAACATTGATACATTGTAGCTAAAGAGGTCCCTTTTATTTAACAAATCTTACGCGACCAGAAAAAACATGCGCGCGCGGAAAAAGTCTTTGCATTTGCTCACGTCAGGAGCGTACACCTATGGGCAAATGGGGGACGCTAAATTGACCAATCAGAGCGCGCGCTTTACTTTGGTTATGTTATAATATAATTTGCTTTCTAAGTGGTGGTCTTGCAGGTTGTACAAGCCATGGTGACCCATCCAGCTTCCTCTTGGTCGATGATTGACACTGTGGCGTTCATCATTTCGTTGCTGATTTATTTGTTTCCTTTCTAAGAAAAGTTTTCTTAGTATCATAAATTTTTTCCCTTCTTTTCTTTTATTCTGATTCACACTGACATTGATGATGTTTGTTTCCTTATTTCCCATGAACTACATTTAATTTTTTTAAATTTTGACTCACGTCGACTCACCTTTAGTTGTACACATCTTACAGAGTCAGTATGTGGCGAGTCCAAAACAAGACCACACTTAGCAGTTCGGACATCCCAAACACGGACTGTATTATCTGACGAGCCAGACACAATGGTGCTACCTAAAAATAAATGCCAGCATTTGTGGGAACATAACTGGAATTAATTGATACATGCTCTATGTGGTCTGCTATTTAGGACAAAAGGGAGCAACTGTTTACATGCAATGGATGGTATAGACTCCAAAATGTAAAATCAATATCATAGTTCAAAGAAATTACTGCATTAATAGCTAAAAATATAATTTGATGTACAAGTTAGATAAGGAAAGGTAAATCGAGAAACCCTCAAACGCTTAAGTGCGTCTTGTGTTCTCCTGCTAATCGGCTTCCAGTGAGACTAAACGACTTAATTGAAGACGAGTTGAGTCGACTCATGCGAATCGTGTCGATTCGCCAAAATTTACTACCCTCGTTTAACGCCTAAATGTACTCTTCTGCGAATCGACTTCTGGTGAGACGGATCGACTTTACTAAAGACGAGTCGAGTCGACTCGTGCGAATCGTGTCGATTCGTCAAAATTTACCACCCTCGTTTAACGCCCAAGTGTGTAATGTGCTCTTCTGGGAAACGACTTCCGGTGAGACGGATCGACTTTACAAAAGATGAGTCGAGTCGACTCGTGCAAATAGCGTGGATTTGTCAACATTTCCTATCTCCTTTTAACGCTTTAAGAAGAGGAAGGTTCATCTCTATTGTCTCTAATCTTCTGCCAATGGATTTCCGGCCGTTTCACGGCCGTAGACTAAGTCGAATCAGATTGGGCAACATGGAGAGGGGTCCAAGGATGGTGGAAATATGTAAATCAGGGTGAAAAGCTGCCACTATAATGGTTTGCAGTTTCCAAAAGTGTTGGGAATTGATGTAGAAGTTGGATTGGGTATGGGTAAGGATTTAATTTGGGAAAATGCAACGAAAACAATTCTCTAGGCGGTTCCTAAGCTTTCTTTTTAATTCTAGAACCACAAAAAATGACTTTTGATATTTACCATCACAAGTCATGCAGGTGATAGGATCCTTGTGTCCTCTCAAAAGTGGTGCAACAGAGTATCTCCCTTGCTCCCAATTCTTATCAAGTGAAAGGGCACGAGTGTAGATCTCCTTCCAGCGACAGGTGGCAGGCTTTAGCCCAGTACATGTGTTATTTGTCAATGATGCATTTGACTTTTGAGAGATTAATGTATGAGGCATTTGCAGAAGATCTTCTCCAAATCTGTCCCACCCCTTTTGAATACAGAAACGATACCTGAAATACAATTACATATAAATGGAAGAGTCAGACAGCCAAAGTAAAATTAAAAGAAGTTAAAATCAAACCCACCTGGTAAATAAATAAATGAATAAACTTTAATAGCTAACACAATTACTGGTTACCCAGTAGTTTACATTGTTGTCTGTATTAAGAAGAAGTTTTAACTAATTGCTTAAAAATCCCCACTGGCAGGAGGCAACCAGTGGGCTATTTACAGAGCACAGCCGAGGAGTTGTACTAGGGGGAAACCAAGAACAAATCCAGTGAGTGGCAGGGTGGAGGACTTGAACCTGGGCCACTGGATTTCAAGTCCAGCACCTTAACCACTTGGCCATGCTGCCTCCCTAAGGTGGGAATGACTGCAAAGCCAAAAACATTTGTTCTCTATGCATCCTAATTACAGAAGTGCTCCAAGACAATTTTTTCCCAAGATTTCACATTGAGTGTGTTTGCTCATGGTTTAATGCTTGCATGACAGCCAACAACTTCCAGAATCCACTTGACTCAACAATGGCATGACTTGGTTTAGGGACAACTTGTGATTAGTACATCTAAAGTTTCACTTACTCCTGCAGATGGTAACCTAACTGCCAGCCATTTGTTGGCTACATTTGGAAATTTCAATCTTAAACCAATGCTAAACTTTTTATGAGCCTTAAATTGAGTCTAATGCACATAATCTAGAAAATTCCCTACAAGCTCAACAAATCTAGATATATTCTCAGCCACATCACATATTTCCAGTTAGAAGTACACAGCATGGTCAATCCTCGAAAATCCCACAGATTACACAAAGCTTGCTTTCTGAGACACTCAGTTTCTCAAAATGTCCTGATAATTTGCAGTAGTTTCAAAGATACTGTCTGCTTAATTTGGCTGACATTGATTTGTCTTTCCCATTCATACCATTGTACTAAAATTCTTCTGCACAGTATTGTGACAAGCATTTTTTTCCCCAGAGGGCCTTGCAGATAAACCCTCTACACCTTACAATCAGTATACATATTCTCCACACTGTTCCCTAGACATTCCCAGTGGTAATGACAAGGAGAATTTGTTCAACAATCATATATTAGGCTTTTTCAGTTGCAGATCATTTCCTCTATCCACATGATATTAATGTTTGATTTAGAAGTGATACCAAACGGTAACTGTAAGTAGATGCTGTATGCTCAGGGATTAAAAGGGTTAATTAATAATCCTTATAACATAAATCACGTAAAGTGCATGTTCTGATTGGTCAATTCAGAGTGTACTATTTCCCCACAGGTGTATGCTGCTGATGTGAGCAAATGTTTTCCACATTAGCAACTGTTTTGCAAGAAATTGTTTTTATGTTATGAAACAAATGGTAAGCACCACAGTGTACACTATTGAGTTATGGATGCACTTGGGAGGTTTGTTACGCACTCAAGAAGCTAGAGTTACCCAAGGCTATTGCCTTGAGTGACTCTTACTCTTCTTTGATGCTAAGCAACCTCCCGCATGCATCCATAACTCAATAGTGTACACTGTGGTGCTTACCATTTGTTAAATTGTATAACATAAACCCATGATGACAGAATGAATTATCAGATAGGAGATTGTAGTCTAAAGTGAAAATTTAAAACAAAATGTACTTTTAGTAACAAGAGGAATAATTTAGGTATAAAGTACAATTGAGTGCATATATTATTTTGATTTCATGTGAACATACCAAAATGCATTGTGATTTGATCTTTCCCTCCACAATTTGTTGCACTGCGCAACGCGGCAGAGTGATTTTACAGAAAGGTATGAGAATATCCTTTCTACCAGTTCTTTTGGTAGAGATGCCACAAAATCTACTGCAAGCAGTGGTTTTAACCCATTGTAAAGCAACCTTAGCTGAAGTGGCTGAAACAAAAATAGCCAAAAAAAAACAAAAATTAAAAATAAATTAACAAGAACAACTACAGTATCCTGATTGTTAATGATGTATTTCCTCGATAATTCTCGAGATGCTTTGCATAAAATGCCGAATGCCTTGGAAATTGTGTGGCAGCTTTACTGACAATCTACACAGATTTGGTGTATCATGTATTCTATAATTTTACCCTGCTGACATGTTCATCCTCTCTAGATTTTGACTCTCATTAACCTCTTCGTGTGCATTTTTATAGATTTCATCAGGAACTTCATTATGTGGTCCTAAGCGCAAAGATGGGGCATGAAATGCCGGTCAAAGGCACTCATCGTGTACATTTAAGACTGTGTGAGACACAGGTGGTAACTTGGAACCTTGTTCCATTCATTTTCTCTTCTTTCGACATCTTAACTAGAGATTTCCCCCCAAAAAGGCCAGTATTAAATAACAAAATCATTCCCTTGAAGAGGAGAAGCACTGGAGGAATTTTAAGGAAGCCTGTGACTGTTGAATTCACTCTACGGCAACAAGTTACATGTAGATGTGTACCCAGCTGATAGTAATGACAAATCCTCAATGATGAGGCGTTTCTTTGATGCCATGTACATAATGTTCAGCCGTTATCAGTGCTGATTCCTTGAACAGTGACAGCTTTAGATAAATATGAAGCAACATTATAAGCTAGGCAACATCAGACATAAACAAACCTGACAGGCGAGGAGGATTCGTTTCAAGACTTCGTTTTGCTGATCACGATTAAAATCTTTAAATGTGTTCACAAACACTTTGGCTCTCTCTTCAAAACTCATTTTTCTGAGTAGAAAGGCATGGATGCGTTTTTCTCAAGCTGTTAAATTCCCTTTTTGGAGGTCTTGATTGAAATAACTTGAAATCTAAACAAAACCTCTTCAAGATCTGTCCCGTGACATAAGAATCACCCTTCCCGCCGTTGAGCCCGCGATCAATTATCATTTTTAGTCACGCTTTTCGTTGAACTAAGTCACGCCTTCAAGTCACGGGGAATCACGCTTCATCGCAACGACTCAACTTATGGTCAGCAGTTTCTCGTGTCAATTCAAAATGGCGGGAATTCCTTGGTGGTTGGTTGTAAACAAATTTGAAAACTGCTGTAACTCCTTGGCTGAAAACGATGTAGATGGCTCCTTTAATTCATTTTAACTACCAAAAGGGATGATATTCTTCATGGAATATTTTTTTTAAAACGGATTGCCCTACATTTCCTGACCGTGGCACACAAACGGATCGAGAGTAAAGATCTTTCTTTACAGCTACCAAAACTCGTAGAATTATTTATGACGAATTTAAATTGTTTAGTACGAATTTAGCGATAGTTGAAGATTATTTGTCGAGAAAATCAGGGAAGAATTACAGCAGAGGTATAACGTGATATCTATGATGCAGAGAGGACAAACAGATAAAGATCGGCGTCGAAATGCCACAAATGAAAGTCACGCTCTGAGAGATTTAGCGAGCAAGTTGAAGATAGAACTTTTACAAAGTCAAGTGGAAACTCAAAAAGTTAAAGATCAACTCCAGTGTATGATATATCTTGTTCGCCGGTAAGTAAGATGATCTCAATGATAAAGTCAATGAGCATTAGTGAGTATTGAACCAGTAATGCACAAAGAGATGAATTTCTACGTTATCTTAACAAGTGTATCACTCAAAATTACCTTTTTTCTTTTTATTTTATCATTTTAAAGTGTGAATAGTGATTTAATCAAAACAAATTTCACAGGCCACGTTATTTAAAGACTAAACCTGATCATATTGTTTTTTCATGATCATTAAACTTAACCAAATTATATACTGTTTAAGAAGTTTTGAAATGTTCATTATGTAGACGTTCGATCAATATATGAAGAATGTAAGCTCTATAGCTCATCTCAATATTTAAAAAATGATGTGCATACTTGTGATTCTCAGCTGGTGCTATCCCCCGAACCTTCCCATGACCATTCTGCATTGAAAACTCTAACTTTAAAAACTGCCCATCAACACCTACACCCCAGACTATCCAAAACCTCCAATCCTTGGTACCTCACAACTCAGATCTTGGTAACCCTTCAGTCATATCCTTGAAAAGTTGTTTCTTAATACAATACTGATACAAATGCTTTACTTTGACTTTTTGACAGAGTAGGGAGACAGTTGTGTGTTACATTAAACATCTACCTTTGTCTACCCAATTAAAAATATTTGTGAGTTTCTGGGATTCTAACTTTTCAGCAAGGCTTAGAATGTAAGGTACAAAAGGGAATAAATATTCTAGGGGTTCAAGTTGTTGAGCCTGAATGAAGGGTGCAAGTTTTGTGGAGCACTGAGATTTTCAGGGAACTTGAATTGTCAAGGTACCCAAGGGTCTGTACATGTAGTTCTAGTTCTAGTTCTCTTCACATCCACTTGTTCCTCTACACTTATCATTTCATCCTTTTGAAGCTGCAATGGGAGACTGTTAGAATTTAAGTGTCTTGAGGAAAACTATAGACTTGAGGCATGAGTAGTCCAGTGGTCAGTGCGCTGGACTCTAGGTCAGATAGCCCGGGTTCAAGTCCTGGCTGGGGCACTATGTTGTGGCCTTAAGCAGGTCGCTTCACTCACATTGCTTTGTCTTCTCAGATAATGCATAAAGGCGTAGGTCCTGTCTCCTGCAGGGTTTGGGGTAGGAGATGTTAATTTCCCACACACGAGATTACTGTGTGGTGGATGCCCTCCCCTAGATGGGATGGGTGGGAAGGTGAGATCGCTACATGACTGAAGCGGCTGCGAAGGTGCCTGATAAAATGCTGACATCCAATCTCAACCTTACTACATTGAGGCTGAAAAGCCCCTTTAGGGGAGCTTCAATTAATGTTGCACTTGCACTTACAGCATGCTTCTGTAGATTTACTATTTAGCTGAGCTCCTCAAAAATCCCAACCTTGAACCTTTAATTTTGTTTCCTCTAATTGATTGCCATTCTCTGTAGAGCCTGGCAGGGAGATGAAGTAGCATCAATACATGTAGCCAATATTGTAGGTAAGTTGATGTTTTATGTTTTCTTTCTTTCTCCTTTTTTCTTTCTTGTTTGTTTTTTTCTTTCTGTGCAGTTGGAGTTGGGGTTTATTCCCTAATATAAACAATCAATAATTATTTTCTTGCTTTATAACCATAAATATTTGTAGTTATTAACCACAGCATCAAGGAATTCATAAGAAAAAAACATTTAATGAATGGCTTTCTCTTGATCTATATTCTGGCAAAGTTGTGTACCTTGTAATTTATTATTAAAAATGCATTATGTTGTATAGGTGTGGCCCCACCAAAGATGCAGAGGTCAGACCAAGACGAAGTTATGGCCACACCAAAGGTTACCTCAAATTATCTGGAGCCCCTATCATTAGCTCACTCAAATAACTTATATTTTTTCCCTCGGTACATTATCACTGAATGACCTTTAGGCTGAACCTATGATGTAGTCCACACCCTTTGTATCCCTCTGAGAAGAGAACTTTTTTATCGATAACAATCTGTTCTTTTTTGCTCTTAGTGAAGTCAAAGTCCAGTTATATCCTTATTTAATGAATTGATTACTCCATTAATACCATACTTGAAACATTTTTATGGACCAGTGTTTACTAATGACGGTTTTGTGTAGTACATGTACATTTATAATGTACTGTACAGGTAAGTTATTTTAAATGAATGTATTTGTTTTTAAGTACTGGTCAATTTTTAAAGTCTTACAACATATCTTTTCTAAACACATCACAGATCTTAACAGTTATCATTGAATACAGGGTCAAAAATGGTGCATATTTTTATCCCTAATCCTAACAAAATATTTTCCGTTTCAGTCCAGAGCTCTGAATGGCTGGGCTCGACTCGTTATTGGTGTGTTAAATCGCATGTACCATGAGGAGGAACTTGAACTGCGAGCGAAACAATTTTTGTACATGCGTGACAGAGAAGAATTACTTGACGAGCAGCTGATATCACACAAGAATATCACGCACCATCAAACGAATGTGTCCCTTTTGCAAACCAATACTTTACAATTACTACAGGTATATACATCAACAACGTTTAAAATCGTTAAATGTCAGCAAATCAGATAACTTATTTGTAGTGGATTAAAAGTGTGTACATGGAGCGGAAAGTTTTTTTCTTTGGTGGTATGCACAACATTTTATCTAGTTGTAAATTCTCTCTGTTGGAGTTTCCTCTTGGCTAATGGATACCTTTTTGTAGAATTTTCATGCAATCATTGAGCTCTATCCATTGAGCTAACCGCCTCCCGGTTAGCTCAATGGATAGAGCGCTGAACTGATGTGCGGGAGGTCGAGGGTTCGAGCCACGCGGCCGGACCAACACGCAAGGTCTTGAAATAATTGAGAAGAATATGCTGCCTTTCTATAACATCAAGAAATGGTTAAGATATTCTAGTCTTCTCGGATAGGGACGAATAAATGGGGGTCCCGTCTCCTGCAGGGTTAGGGGTAGGAGACGTTAATTTCCCACGCACGAGATTACTGTGTGATGGATGTCCTCCCCTGGGGTGGGATGGGTGGGTTGTTGTCTTGCGTTTCATACACGAGCTTACGGCTCGGGAAATATGGGTAACCATGCCCCACGTAAAGACATTAAACTTTGATTACTATTACTATTACCATTATTACTATCATGTTTTAAGGGAGTGTATCTCAGCATTTATTAAACGAAATCATTTATAATTAACAAATGGTGAACGCCATAGCGTGTACTATTGAGTTATGGATGCACGTGGGAGGTTGCTAAGCACGAAAGAAGCGCAAGAGTCGCACGAGGCGATGGCTGAGTGCGACTCTAGCTTCTTGAGTGCTTAGCAAACCTCCTGAGTACATCCATAACTCAATAATACACGCTACGGCGTTCACCATTTGTTTTATAACATAACATTGATACATTGGAACAAGAGTTCCCTTTTATTTAACAAATCTTACGTGATCAGAAAAAACAAGCGCGCGCGGAAAATAGTCTAAGCGTTTGCTCACGTCAGCAGCATACACCCATGGGCAAATAGTAGATGCTGAATTAACCAATCAGAGCGCGCGCTTTGCTTTAGTTATGTTATAATGTCTGTTCYGATGGATACGTTTCTACAGGCCAAAGAAGAATGCAAAGCTCGAGAGATAGCGGGGGAACGAGAGAAAATTGAACAGCAAAAACAAGAATTGAAAGCAAAGTTTAGAGGAAGACCATCAAAGCTTCAAACCCGCGGCGTGGCCCGGAAGGAAAGGGTAGAGAGAGTTGTTGACTTAGATGTGTCGGGTAACCTCTTAATCAGCCCAGTCAGGAACAAGAAGATGGCGGCTGAGGAAAGTACTGTAAGTATTCTGTGTGAAAAGAGGTTGAAAGGGCCACTTTCAGTGAGGGGCTGGATAAATGCTTTCTTTGTTTTATAAAGTTGTCAGGCTGCTGAGCTAGCGAGGTCGCGAGCGCGATGACTAAAGATAAAAGTGGGTTTCAAGGAATGAGGAGGGGGATAATTCTCATGTGTTGCCCTGCCGCGTTATGTTAGCTATAAGGTTTTGTATTTTTTCTGATTGAGAGCATTTGGAAGATTCAAGACTCCAGCTTGCTACGGCTTTTCTTTAAGATTATACAACACTAACTGAGAATGTATGACAATCGTGTATGTGCACTGCGGTTTCTAAGAAATGTATATGAAAGCGATCCTCGCAGTAATGAACGCTGTTTAAGCAGTAGTCTAAATAAGACCTATACAACATTCTTTGCTCAGTATCTGTTAGTATCTGAGCAACTGCGCACCCACCCCACCCCTAACCTAACAACAGTCAAGTAATAACAAGTCAGGGAGGGGTTAGTGCGTAGCTGCTCAGGCACTATTATTGATCCGAAAAGAGTATAGGAATTGGTTCGTCTATTGATTTTTTCCTTTTTTTTTTTTTCTTTTTTTAAAGGGGAGGCATGTAAATAGCCCAGAAGACGAGGAAGACGAAACGATAGTCGAAGGTTTGCTGCAGACGATACAAATATTTTGTTGTTGCGTTATGAAAACATCCATTACTGATATGTTGTATACCTTTGTGGTTATAGTTGACCACTAAGCCAGGTTTTATTCTCTTTTATTTCAAACTTACCGTCATATACTTTTATGTCCAAAAACTTGGCATGAAAACGTTCGAATCACAACGCATCTCTAAAGTTTAAAGTAGTGCTTTTTGTTACTCTATGAAAACTCCATTCATAACTGTGTGTCTATTCCTTTCAATGTCCTCCAGGATCGTCCTCCTTCAGCAGCCATATTAAGAAAGAAAGCGAGGTAAGTTTCATTTTCTTTTTCAATTTGTATCATTAGCCGTTTATGTCTGCCCTTTTCGCCACAAACGCCTTTTTGCTTTAAAACAGCACCTCTCTCTATGCTTTACTGTAGCTTATCGCCTTCTGGGTGGTTTTTTCTTTTTCAAGAGATGGTATCTCAAACTGATGGAATATTAATCTGAGAATGCTTTCCTTACTCTAAATGTCGCTTCCTTGAGATAACTCAGATTTTGAACAGCTCATACAAGCAGCTGTTTGCGAGATAGGCTATTTTTGTTGATGAAAGGGGGTAAGTTTCTAGAGAAACTGTGATGCTGCGTCGGTGAGGGTAACAAGGTCATTTGGTTTTATCAACTGAGTTGATAATGTAAGTTGGCTACCGTTAAGAGTTTAAAAGCTGACGTTTTGAGCGTTAGCCCTTCGTCAGAGCGATTCGTTTGGCTAACGCTCGAAATGTCAGCTTTTGAACCCATTACGGTGGCCAGTTTACATTATCAACTCAGTCGATGAAACCAAATTTTTTTTATTGATGTCGTCGTCTTTGTAATTATTGTTAGTTCTGTTGGTGCTGCTAGCACAGCCCATGCTTCAGCTCCTACATGTGGTATCTCTCTTGATCGCTCTCTTTTGTTTTTTTGTTTTTTTTTCGAACATAGTCGTTCATGTTTGTTCTCATTCGTTTCAGAATTCAAACGATGTCTTCCTCACAAGAAGAAGATCTAACTCATTAAGCCGGTAACTGTAGCTTTGCTCTCATCACTGTTATGATAATCCATGATTTTTACGTTCGCATTCGTGCTCTCAAACCCAGCACATCCCCGAAGAGGATACTGGTTTAATGTACTAGTATATTATTACCACTATTCTTTTGCACTCAAAAAATGCCAATTTTGATTGAAGTCTCACGGTATATGGAGATCTTTGGTTGGCAGAAACCCCTTCATTTGTCGTTAACTTACCGTCATCCCTCGCGTACATCGGGCCTAATCGAAGAGGTGGAAAGTATCTCACTCATGATATTCTCATTGAGCATTCAGATTCGACGTCGGCACTGCTCACTTCGCCAGGATATAACCTGGTCTAATTTCTTTATCTCAAATGTCTCAGGGAGGAAGCAGCGTTACCGAAACAGAAAAGAAGTGGCAATGTAAGTTAACGCAACTTAATGTAGCCTTTATTCTAATGAAAGACTCATTAGTTTTTAAAATACTCGTTGCCTCTTTCATGCTTCTTTCCCTATTGCTTCAGCACACTCGTTCACAGACAAGCGAAGGGACTGGAAAAAGAAAACCGAGGCCCCAAACTGCAGGTATGTAAGTTTTAGATCAGCCGCGGTACGCTCGCACTGTCTCGTGAGAAATTTCAGATCGTTCTGGTATCAAGGTTCATTTTTGTATTAATTTACAAGAAACTCCTCCTTGTGGAAGTAAGGTATGTTGACTTTTTCTTTGAGGAATTTACTAAAATATATTTCAAGTAACACATGAAAAGCTAACGTCTGTATAAGACTCAAATGCCCTAAGTACTTTAACTTATTATCTCGTGAAGCATAAGGGAATCTCATTGAACTTTTGGAATCACGAGTACGAACCAGCCTTTGCTACCAGGACGCACAGTTTTCATGCATAAGTGACCTTCCATCCCTTTTTCTGACACTAAACAGACTGTAAAGAAGTTTTTTTTTTCTGCTTTTGTTTAATATATTTGCGGCAAAATTGATGCGAAATCTAGTTCTAAACCTTGGCAATGCTAAAGTTTAGTCACATTAACTGTGGCTTAATTGAATATAACAGCTGTGAAAAGTTCCAATTCAGAGGGTAGCATGGTTGTGAAAAGCAAAAGAAGGCCTTTGTCCGCCCACGTGACCCATCCCATGCCTTGGAGTAAACCTCCTCCAACCTTCGACACAAGTAAAACTAGAAGACAGCTAGATCTCATCGAAAGGGACTTAAAGTTCACGACGAAAGCGCTTCAGGATCGACTGGGTATTTCTAAACAGGGATTTGTGTGAAAAAAAAAAACGTTTTCATTGCCGTAGCGTAAGGCAGCGAAAGACTTCAGATGCGTGGTAATTATCAGGACACCTTTTTGGCATAACTGCGGTGAAAGAGGAAATTTGTAAATTCAGCGAAGTCAGAAATTAAGTCAAGGAGTTTTTGTTACGCTTTTATTTCTTTATATAAATAGAAAAGACTCAGAACTCTAACAAAAATCTCAATGTTTCCACTTAGCAAATTTGGTGAATTTTCTGATTGTCTCGTAGAATAGATTATTTTTTGAGGCATGTAGACCCCGATTTATGTAACAGTTTGATGACATGTAATAGTAATTTGGAAACATCTAGTACTTCCTTCTTTCGAATTTGTGTTTGGTTTTTGTCAAAATCGGAAATTTAGCATTCTTGCACTAAGCAAGCCGCTGTATGGACTTCATTTGGTCAGCGGTTTTTCTCTCAGTGCTCACTCTTTTAATGTTTGACGTCGCGTGCGAGTGATGAATCAAGTGTATCATGGATGCTCAGGTTATGGGCGGGGCTCGAAAGCTTTTCGTTCGGGGTGACAAACATTTACGCCACTGTTAAAAGTCCAGCCATGTTTTATTTCATTCAGTCATGCTTTAATTTGTACAACTCAGCCGCTCACTGGAAGATGATTACAATTGGTTTGAAGCGACTGAAAAAGTCGATCGTACTCTGCCTTATTTTTGTAGTTGAGTTTATCATCGATATGAACTGGATCTGGTTTGCGGAAGACACCCCCCCAGCGAAGGCTTGCATCTTGCTTGATCTTTTGGATAAAGCACTTGACTCCTTTGGGGTGGTTCTTCTCGTTGAGCAGACAACGCGAATTGCAGAAACGATTCCCGTCTCTCAAATTCATGTCGATAGCGTGACCCACGAAATGGTTACTGCGTTTTGCAGGTTTATACACGGCGCCTACTAGTTTCTTTCCATTGTCTTTTCTGAAGGAACTTGTAATTACCACCTGGTAGACGACAATTAAGAGCACCAGAAATAAATTTCATTTCGCTTCTCCCTAACGAGAACGTGTAAGGGAAAGCTTTTTTTTTTCTAAAATAACACCTAGAAACAAACCTTAACCCTGCATTGCCAAGCATAGCGTTAACACCGTTACGTTGATATTTATGATTGCTCTTTTGAATTCTGGGTGAACATAACCGAAGCCTTCAAAGTGGCCGCCTCGGAATTTCAAAAGACCACAATTCCCCAGTAAAGAAGTAAAGAAGTAAAGAACACATATGGTGAAAAATTAATTTCTCTTCGCAAAGAAAGGATAGAGGTCACTTGTATGAATTTTGTCTCGTAGCCAGAAATTTTGCGTCGCTCTTATTCAATTGCCACTTTTGTCGGCCTTAAGGCAAAAGCTATAGCCAAACTCTTTCGTAGCGTTAATATTTTGGCAACACGTCAGGAAAAAAAATTCCTTTTAACGCACTCGGTATGATACGCTTGTTGATCGCGGCTAAAATTCCTCCGAGAGAAAAAAATTGTTCTTACCTGCTGATTGTACAGTGCCAGGGATTGCCAGTAGCATCATGACTACCAAAATCATCTTTAGCTCCATTGTTTTTCGCGAGATACGAAATCTTGACAAGAAATATGATTTATTCTTATATAGGATTATTGTCAACAAAAATCGTTGCATTTCTAGATCTTTGATCAGTAATGCTGTACATGTAGAAATTTATGCGTATGTATTGCTAGATTCTATCTAAACAAAATATAGTATAGCGGAATTCTAAGTTCGTAACGACTGTGGTTGCAAAACTTCTTAATTTGTTTCCTATACACTGTAAATTAAAGCTTTTCCCTCGCTTTTAATTTCGATCTCGTTCAACGCCGAAATATTACTGCCCTTCGAGTATATAATAGTCGTCTTCGATCAAGGAACCCTGTTCGCAAGGAAGAAGATTACAACCACAGAGCTGAAATTTGTCACAGGGGACACTAAAGGTTCGATACTACTGGTTACCTCAATTCAGTCCTTGCGTCTCAAGATCCAGAAGTGAATTATTAAATTGACTGACTCGAAAGATAGTTAAGGGTAGAAAGTTCGACGGCTGTACATAAATTTTAACCTGTACTTCCTCGTTGAACACGTTGGACTTTTGTTTACTTTTTACATTGTCTTAACGCAATTGTTTTGACCCATCAATTAGGAACAGCAAGCCCCCTAACAATTAGATGAAGATGGCAAAATCGAGGAAAACCAAATAAGTATTTTTATGCTTTTATTGAAAATGGTTGAGGCCATCTCTTCTTAATACTATTATACTTTGCCTGTACCTTTGTATAAATAAAATTTTTTTACATTTGAATTATAGATTCCCTTCTTATTAGAATAACAAACTTGAGGTATAACCATTCAACCGTAAATGACATGTTAGTTTGGGTAATTATTTAAACATCTCTAAATTGCCTCTTAAAATAAAAATATAGAGGTGAAGCAACCTCTTTATCGATCACGAATTAATTACAAAAAAGTCGACGTTGTCACACTGAAATCAACGGAGGAATGGAGCGAAGGCCCATCCTATTTCGCGGTCTGATGCTTCAACTCTTATGGTACGTTACAAACATTAAGACCTCGATAATGAACCGGTCCCCATATGAAGGATGAAGGTCACTTGGCTTCTTTATTGCAAGCATCACGCAGACCACCAGGATCAGAAACGTCGAAAGCGACGTCTGAGCGAATAACAGTCAGTAGAGATTGTAGATGTTAACGCGAGAGTCAAATAAACAGAGATACAAAACAATATTCCAGTACGACCGGAAGTATAAAATTATCGCGATCTACGTCCAAACCTTTTCGGCTTTAATTGTATGCGATGACTTTGTTAACAGCAAACATCATCTTAAGTTAGTTTAGTTTCTATCAACGATTGTCATTTATTTTATTGGACATCTACAACTTCATTACAAATCCCAAGGCAATGGGGTGATGGCTTTTAGGGTCGGTTTAAATGTTAGCCATTTTACGGCTAACGGATAGCTTTCTCCCTTTGTAATTAAAATAAAAATATTTTACGCTTATCTTTTTACGCGACCAACGGCTAAAATTTGTAAATTTTTCGCCCAACGGTTGATATCAAGGCTGCGCTAGGTATGGAAACGAATGGAAGCCATGTTAGGATAAAAACTGTCGTCACCATAAACACAGTCATGGCTAATTTTCGGCATGTACTAAAACCAGTCACACCGTAACACTCCGGAACACCGAAACACCCCGAAACACCGTAACACCCCGGAACACCGTAACACCCCGGAACACCGTAGAACCCCGGAACACCGTAACACCCCGTAACACAGTAACACCCCGGAACACCCTAACACCTTAACATCCCGGAACACCGTAACACCCCGTAACACTGTAACACCCCGTAACACCGTAATACCCCGTAACACCCCGTAATACCCCGTAACATCCCGTAATACCCCGTAACACCCCGAAACACCGTAACAACCCGTAACTCCGTAACATCCCTGTTACGATGTTCCGGGATGTAGAAACTGCCCAAAGGCGAAATAAAGATAAACTGGAGTAACTGCTCAAAGCGAACTACTGTATGACTAACGTTAACGGAAGACAAACTCTGAACAGAGAAAAACTAGGTTATATGCAAAAACGACTAGCTTACTTAAAGTGCAATTATCGCCTATATTACGAAAGAAACTCATGAACGAAAAATACGTGACATAGAAACTACAGAAGCTAACTAACCAGCGAAAAAATACTAACGAACGACGAGAAAAAGCGACCAGACAAAGAGGCCGTTTACACGGCAGAAAAAATCGGGTACGGACGTGTCAAAAAAGTAGTACGGACCGCATAATTTTAGCCGTTTACACGGATGATGTTTTACCACGGGTCGGACAAAAAGAGGCATTAGGACCAAGTTAGCAAGGTTGCGTTTACACTGCAGTTTATGGGGGACCGGACCAATTTCTTGCATGGGACTACAGTATTTGGTACAGCTGTGTGCTGTTATCGAACATGCGTACCGTATTTACTCGAATAAGCGCCGCAGCGCTTATTTAAAAATTGTACCAGACAGTTTAATACTCATAGTTCTTACCTCAGTTCAGTCCTTGTGTCTCAAGATCTTGAGATGAATTATTGAATTGAATGACTCGAAAGTTAATTAAGGGTACAAAGATCGACGGCTGTACATAAATTTCAACCTGTAAACTTCCTCGTTGAACAGGTTGGGCTTTGTTTGCTTTTTGCATTGTCTGAGCGCAGTTGTTTTGACCCACCAATTAGGAACAGCAATCCCCTTAACAATTAAATGAAGATGGCAAAATCAATGAAAACAAAATTAGAATATTTTATTGAAAATGGATGAGGCGATCTCTTATTAAACACAATCGTACTTTGCTTGTATCTTGGCATGGACAAAATTTTTTATATATACAAACTTGAGGTAAATCCATTCAACCTTAGATGACATGTTATTTTGGGTAACTATTTAATCATTTATAAATTACCTCTTAGAATAAAATTATAGAGGTGAAGCAACCTCTTTATCGACCACGAATTAACAGGTTGGGCTTTTGTTT